AATAATAATAAATAAATTCCAGGAGGAGCACCGCGCAAAAGGCGGTCAAAGGCTCTCTTCGAGGCTTTGTAATCCTCTGCCTCCTCATACTCACGTTGCATTTGTTTTTTAAATGCGCTCATTTGGAAATAGTGCAAGGGGAAGAAACAAGGGGAAGGTTCCTGCTTCTCTGGTAGCCAAACACTACTTCAAGAACTGCCAAGAGAGCGTACTCGCAGGCTACACGACTGGGAGTGAATGGGCACGCGTGGAAGAACGAGCCTGTCGGAATATGATCATACGAGCTCCACGATCAGAGACTTAAAACAACACAACTACTACCATGAGTTCAACTTAGTTTCTTTCAGCTACCGAAATATGGCTCACACAGCATTTTGTTATAGTCGTGTTTCTCAGTTCTGAGTTACTTTAGCAATTTGAGTGGCATTTCTTCCAAGATGCAGGCCAATTTGATGGTGAGGCCCGCCATGATATCAGCATCGATATCGATCTCAGTATTAACAGCGGCTCCTTGTATTCCGCTCTATGAACCAAAATAGAAAACAAATTAAAATTAATAAAGGAATTCAAAAAAAAAACAAAAACAAAAAAAGAAATTAAAAGACAGTTAATTTAGACAATCAAAAGAAACACGCCATAGTCCAGATTGAACTCTTTCGTTTCGAGCTGCTTCGGTGAAAATGTTTTACTTACACTTCATTTTATGTGGATGAGACTTATTTCCACGTGAAACGTGTTACATCAAACCTCATTTTGAAACAACTGGGAAAAAGTCAACTAAAGTAGCCTATTAAATAATAATAATAATAATAATAATAATAATAATAATGATAATGATAATGATAATGATGATGATAATGGTAATAATAACAACAATATTTACATTTTTATAGGGCGCATCGCCTAACAGCAAATCACGAAATGAAATAGCACAAATAACCAATCAACTAACTAACTGACTAAAATAACTAACCAATTACTTAAAAAAAATAACAGACTAAAATGAAGTAAAAATTAAACTTTCTTAAAAAAAATCAGTCTTCAGTTTAGTGTCAAAACTTTCCACAGTATTCGCTTTCTTAATGCCTTCTGGTATCGAGTTCCACAATTTCGGTGCGGCAAAAGAAAAGGCTCTTGCACCATAACTGTCCGTTTTAACCATTTGACAACTAATACTGAGTGACGAGCGTGATGCATGTAGATCGTAAATTATGCAATGGACGGCATTCCTTAAAGAGAGGGTTCAGGTAATTGGCGGATTGGTTGTGCAAGATCTTATAAGTTGTAAGTAGAATCTTAAAATTAATTCTCTACTCAACTGTAAGCCAGTGCAAGTCATTTAGTGGTGTTACGTGGGTTGAACGTTTGAATCCCGTCACAAGGCGCGCTGCGGTTTTCTGAATCCGTTCAAGCTTATCCCTTTGGTATTCCGGGATACCATAAAGAATGCCGTTGCAATAATCCAAACGAGAAATTACAAGAGCGTTTAATTTTTGTTTTGAAAGGATGGTATAACTGTGGTGACTTTCCTAATTCCCAACTAGCTAAGCAAAACAACAGTCTCCCCACATCCCCTCCCTCTAAGTCAGCGATGTTTGTAACACTTACAACAACGGATGGAGGAAGGTTAACTGGCCCGTCTAGCATCGTGCTCACCAGAAATTCTACATCACCAGTTGTCACAACGCAGTTGGGATCATTCGCGTCTTCAGCGCTAGCTAGTGAAAGAAGAAAATGTTTCTCAGCTTTTGGGGACGGGCTACTTTGTTGTCGAGGTTCCCTTAAAAACAAACCACGACGATGACGGCAACGAGAACGACACTAAACAAAAGTTTTAATGGGCAAAACAATGGTTGTGCACGTGCGTTATAAATCTTTGTTCATTTCTTTGCCGTCCTCTACAAACCAACAACGTGAAATGATCAAGTTCTTCGTACGCGAACGATGACGGCTAATTTCTCGTATTTCCATTTGCAATTAAACGCTGTCATTGCATATTTAGCCTGAGCACGTTTTTAGAGCCATTGGCGTGCTGAACATATCTAGACAATTGCGAATTTCGCTGGCAAAATAGGAATATATTTTTGACTAGTCGTCGTCCTCGGAGTCGCCGTCGTCGTTGCTTAAGCTTCCTATTGTTAGGGAAGGCGGGTTGGGTGGTAGGCAGTTCGGAAGTGCTGAATGACTGTGCTGACATTTCATTTCACTTCAGTCAAGAGAGGTAGGGCCGGTCTCAAATTTCTCTACTTTTCTTGCTTAGAACTCTTTTGATAGAATCGCCCTACCCCCCAAAAAGAAACAGAATGGAAACAGTCCGTCTGTCTCGGGAGACAAGGGAACTCTGCGCCATGATTCAGCCGGCCGTTTGCGGTTGAGGTGCAGCGCCTGTTGTGGCTGTAGAGGTCAATCCTACTTGCTCCACCCCCAACCCCGAAAAATAAAAAAAAAAACATAAAGCAGTTTACCATGCTGTAAACGTTCGTAAAAAGACTTGCCCCACCCCATTCCATATGTTTTGGCCCCTTCAAAAGGGTGGTTTTTCAGTGGTTTTTCGTACATGGCGTAGTACAGGTTCTAATTGCTAGAACCAATGGTTGTAATATGCAAGGATACAGATTATGTTGTAAGACGAAATACATCTATATCAGATGACTGACTGACGCATTCTTAATAAACTATTCACAGTGAATGTCTCGTGTTAGTGTAGTCAGAATTAATCAGAAGTTTACCTCCAAGCAGAGTTTTTAATTCCTGGCAGTTCACAAGCATATAGCTACAAACAAAAGAGATCACGCTTTAGAATTGTTGAGCCTCATCTACACGAGCAACTTTTATGTGACAATTCTTATTTGCTCGTGTAGATGAGGAAAATTGGCCAATGTTTATGTGACAAATATATTTGCTGAAAAGCTGGCGCATGTGACGAAAAAAGTTGTCACAAACGAAAAATTGCTCGTGTAGACGACTCGTTCACATAAAATGTGGCAAATATGTTCGTTAGCGCCATATTTTGGGAGAGTGAGTATGCAGCCTCGCCTTGTTTTTGCGTATCTCTGCTGTCCAAAGTCACTTCTGGCGCACTAAACTTTGAACGGTGACAAATATTTGCCGTGCCATCTACAAGATGAAATGTCTTTGTCACATAAAAATTGTCACACAAAAATTGCTCGAGTAGACGAGACTTAAAGCGTTTAAAAGGGGTGTGTTTCTTCGGGATGACCCGATCACGATTAATGATCCAGATCTTCAGATCATGGTGCATTAAGGTGGATCAAAACGGTTTTCAGCAATTTCCATGACGTATATTTTGATGGGTCATTATTACTGTCCAGTCACTGGCGAACACGCCTTTTTCATTTCGGCGACGCAATACGTTACCATAACAACAATATGACCTTCTAAACACACCCTTAATTTTAGCTTGAAGTACTTATATTTCAAAAAAGGGCTCAGTGAAACCGTTCTTTAAATCGAATTGTTATAAGCAGGATAAGATGCAACTTTTGGCAGAGATTAAAAAAATTCTGTAGATGGGGTTCAGAGCCACCTTAATATTTCGGAAATTTAAAAAAAAATTAGTTTCACCTGTGCCCTTTTTGAAATATAAGTATACTTAAAGCTAAAATTAAGGGTGCTTTTAACAGACCATACTGTTGCTATGGTGACATATAGTGTCACGAAAACGATACCAACGTGGTCACCAATGATTGGGTAGTTTTCTGATACCATGATTGCAGCATCAACTAATCAAGAGTAGTTAAAATGATCCATCGAAATCTACGTCTAGGAAAGTGCTTGTTCACTCTGGACAAGCATTCATTAGTTCCTTTGGTGCACCATTATCCGAGTGATCTTTGATCACCCCAAAGAAACGCATCCTTTATCATGTGGCTTCTAATGACGGTGCGTAAACTCAAGCACATAGTATGAGCTTGGAAAACCAGCAGGTTATCCAGTATAGTCTATCCTGGTTTACAAAGCAATAAAGGTGGGATGAAAACGTTTCACTTGCGGTAATTGACATACTGTCGAGGAAATTGGTTGCCAACACTCAAACTCGTAGGACACAGTCTTGACTTATCAGGACCAGCCATGCGTGCCTTGTTATGTAAAGGAATTTTATATATAAAGGATATTACACGGCGTCGCTATGATATCAGTTTTTTTTTCGAGTGGTAAAAACAGTATTTTACGAACAAGCGTAGCGAGTAAAATGAGCTTTTTGATACGAGGTAATATAATTCATCCGAGCAATTTATGACCCGCGCACTTCGCGCTTGGGCCATAAATCGAAGGGGAAAAGATTCGGTCCGTAACTTACAGTACGGACCTCGAACTCGGTTAGCAAGAGGTATCTATCTTTTCCAGTAAAACACTCGTGTCTATATAATCAACTCTTAATTTATATTGGATCGTTCACATGCTACGTCTCCATCTCGACCTCTACTATTTATGTCGAGCTTGAACTTACCACGGTCCGGCATCACACATGGGGATGTCTTCTACAATCGGAAAAAAGCCCATTATTGTCCCCGTTATGCTAGCAACGTAAACAATGGAGAACGGGCCGGGGTTTGCACTGCCGATGCTGAAATTGCCTTTTACGCAGATGGGGATGTTTACAGCGTCAATATCAACGAGAAGCTTGCTTTCATCGCTGCCGCAATCCCACGCCGCGAATTTGTGCAGAGTGATGTCAGGATAGGGATCTGGGAAGGAAAGTGAAACAACACTGCTGGTAGTCTCCTTGAGTACTTTTCACTCATGCAGTATTTCCTTGTTTACTTGGG